TCATTCATGTTTACTTACTGCTGGATCTGGATGGAAAAGGAGAGACAGGAAGCTGCATTTTAGAAATGATGCAGTTCTCCGTCTCACCTGAGCTGGAATTGTGTAGGTGTGGTGGTGTTCACAGGGGTCCCAGGACGAGGGAAGAGATGAGAATCTTGACTCCTTGTTTCAGAAGGCTGATGTATTCTTTTATGATATATATTATATTAAAAGAAAATGATATATTAAAACTAAAGTATAGAAGAAAAAGATTTCATCAGAAGGCTTGAAAGGAAAGGAATGATAATAAAATCTTGTGACTGACCAGAGAGTCTGAGACATCCAGACTGTGATTGGCCATTAATAAAAACAACCACATGAGACCAATCCCAGATGCACCTGTTGCATTCCACAGCAGCAGATAACCATTGTTTACATTTAGTTTCTGAGGTCTCTCAGCTTCTCAGGAGAAAAGATCCTAGCAAAAGGATTTTTCATAAAATGTGTCCATGACAGTGTAGTTTAATGGAAAACTTATAAATAACTGTGTAATCACTGGCTTTTGCAAATTATTTTTATATAACATAGTTTGTAATCACTGCTTTTATTGTTGTATAATTTGTCAGCCTTTTATGGTTAATACCCCAATCCCTGAGTAGATTATATATTTTAGTGTGATAAATATATTCTAGTTTAGGCTCTCGCCAAATATTAAAATAGAGATTTTGTGCTGTGCATTATAACATTAACTGTTGCAGAAGTAGTTAATGTTTTTATTTTTGTAACTGTCTGACAATGGTGAGAATGAGTCAGATAATTTTGTGAAGTTTCTAATGTTGATTTCATGTACTAGTGGAGTATCTTATCTGTATGATAACATTGAAAAGAACCAGGTAAATAAACACTGAAAGAAAGAATGCAAGGAGTTTACCACTGACCCTTCAGCTGGCACTAACTGCCAAACCACAGAACAGGGACCCTTGTGAAGAAATAAAATACATCAATCTCATCTGCAGTATGGCACACACCTTAAGTGTCAAGGGTTGAAGCAAGCAAAAAGAATTCCCAGAATATGAAAACTCAAAGGAATCTTTGAATGTGTATAATCTCATGAAAATGTATTTGACCAATGTAGTGAAAAACTATATAAGAAAAATTGGTTTAAGTTAACTGGCATGCCTCTGGCAGTTGCCAAGCACCCAGTGCTGTTATTAGTTTGTCCCTCTTACCACTTATAAAACTTTTAAGATTTTAAAGATTGAGGCATGTTTCTCACAATTACAAAAAAAAAAAAAAAAGCAAAAAGGAGGAAAAACCAGAGATCTGTTGTGCCGAAGCCCTGCAGTCCCGGAGCCCCAAGGAATAAGTCAATAATGCCTTAGTGATGGTGCTGCAAAAAGAGGCAGAGCCCCGAGGGCAGCGGTGCCAATGTGATGTCACAGACGCTGCCGGGCTGTGGGAAGGCAGTGCGGCCATGCCTCAGCCACGGCGAGGCCGGGGCAGCCCCAGGCCCTTCTCTCCTGGCTGTGAATCCTCGCCCCAGCGCCTCCCCAGCTCTCCCGCTCCCTGGGGCCGGGCCGGGCCCCCCGGGCCGTTCGTGCGGCTGTGGCCGCCCCGCTCCCGCCCCGGCGGGCTCTGCGGCTCCTACCGGCCGGTGTTGGGGCGGTGTTGGTGCGGCAGCTCCCGGGAGGGGCCGGGCTGGCGGCGCGGCCGGGCCGGGCGGGACGAGCGGGAGGACAGCGCGGGCCCGGGCCCTCGGCGCCACAGCGCCGCCGTCTCCATGGCAACCGTCGCCGCTCGATGACGTCACCTCGTTCCCTTTACTGCAAACGAGGCGCTGACCACGCCCCCGGGTGGCGATAGGCCGCTTTCTGTCGCGCGGTGATGACGTCCCCGTTAGCAACGCGTCGCGTTGCCAGGGCGGACACGGAGGACGCGACCCGGCCGTGGCCACCGCCCGCGGGCGCCTACGCGGAGGAGCGGGGGCTCTTCCAGCTCCTGCAGGTGAACGGGGAACCCGGGCCGGCCCGGGGGAGGCGGGGAGGGGCAGCGGGGCGGGATCCTGAGGGAGGTGATGGGCGGGTGGGAAGTTTGTCCTGTAAACAGGGATTCTGTGGTCCAGCGAACCAAACTGTTTCTGTGGAGGTGGGGGAGGGCTGTAGACAAGTTTAAATGTCAGGGACGTGTCTGAATCTGTAATGCCAGGCCTTTGCTGCTCTGCATCCCATCCTTCACCCCCTGGCTGTGGCAGGGAAGGGATGCTCCTCAGGAAGAAGGCTGAGAAAATGTAAAATCCTGTTTCAAGGAACTTATCCAAGACTCATGTCTGAGATATTAGAGTCTGATGAGTCCTGACTGATCCCTGCTCCCACTACAGTGCTAGCCCCAGGGAGCAGCTGGAGCTGCTTCTGTAGGGATGTGAGGAGCAGAGTGCAAATATCAGCAAGGGAAAGGCAATGCTTGCGTCCCGGGCTGGCTGCAGAAAATGGGCTCAGGATGGTTCTCTAGTGTTGATTGCACTGATTGCACTGTATTAGATCAGCCAGGTGCTTAAATGTGCTGAGCAGACGATGCAGGAGCTTTGATCCTTTAACAGGAGGTGTTCCCTGGTGGGATCCAGGGAGCTTTCTTTCCCAAGCGTGGGTCTTCATACTTGCACCTCTCGCACTGTTTCTCCTGCAATAGCACAGTATTTTTATTACTATTGGAGATCTGAGCTGCAAAGTGCCCAGCAGGGGCTGTTTGGGAAGGGGATTTGTGCTTCTAGGCCCTGGCAGGTGCATGACTCACATTGGGGATCAGGTACTTCTTGGAGTGTGTGACCCAGTCCCTCATGCTGTCCAGGACGATGGGCAGCAGGCTCACCACCCCTCCATAGCGATGCCTCGCTTCCTCCATGCTCAGGAAATTCACAACCCTGTGGGGGTACCTGTGGGACAAAGGGAAACAAATGGCACAGGACAGAGGGAAACAATTAGCACAGGACAGAGGGAAACAAACAGCCCTGCAGCCCTGGGAGCCACCCTGGGAGCCCCGGGGAGAGCAGCAGTGCACAGGCAGCCATTCCCCAAAAGCACAGAGAGAGCTGTACATGGATTGAGGAGTCCTGCCAAAAAACACCCTGGCATAGACCTGGAGTCTTGGACAGGACACACAGACACTGCCCTGCAGAAATTAGCTCAGTGCAGAGCAGCAGCAGCAGCAGGAAGGAGCAGGAACCTGCCTGAGCACTGCAGGGGCCTCAGGGCACCCACCTGCCCAGAGAGGGGATGGACAGACAGAGCAGCACTCCTAGTGCAGGGACACTGGCAGTGGTTGCCAGGAGCTGGCACAGGCAGTTGGGCAGCACCTTGGACCCTCCCTACAGCCAGGAAGGGGCTGGGACAGAAGCCAGGGGGGAATGTGCAGTGCCAGCCCCCAGGAGATGAGCTGGGCTGGGCTGGGCTGGGCTGGGCTGGGCTGGGCTGGGCTGGGGAGGCACCTACGTGGCTCGAAGGGCAGTGAGGTCGTTGCTGTCGTTCAGGAGCAATTTGCACTTCTCCAAAAGGCCGTTGGTGACGCTGTCCCCAGCGTGCACCGTCTCCATCCTCTGGCACAGGCAGCGCAGCTCGTTGCACAGGGACACGAACATGTTGAGGATGCGCCTGTCTGTGGAGTTGTAGCAGTGGTGGTCCTTGTAGCACTGCACCTGCACGGGGGGAAATGGCAGCGCTGCTGACAACGGCAGAACGGGAACACCTCACTGGGATGGAATGGCTCAGTGCAATGTCTGCCACAATCCTCTTCAAGGCAATGGGCAAAGCCCTTCTGCTGTCAGGGAGAGGCAGCCTTGGAAAGGACAACCAGCTCATTGTGTGCCCTAATCCTGACAGCAGCCTGGCTTGCACTCTGCCTTTGGCATCCATCTGGGTTTTGGGCTTGAGTTCTGCTGTCTCAAATCCACAATTCTGATTTGATTTAGATTTTTCTGAGATCACGGGAGGCCCCACCCAGGTGATCTCTCCCCACCCCTTCAGTTACACACAAACCTTCCTGGGCACTTTTCTCACTTTATTTCTGACTTTATGTCCATCTTCCCTTCAGGAAAAACATTTCTCCAGCCCCACGTGCTGTCCCTGTGGCCATGGCAGGGAGCTCTTGGTGCTGAGGGGTTTGTACCTGGACAATGGATGACACAGGTCTGATCATGTCATGGGCTTCCTCCCGGGTGCGCTCCAGGGCTCTGATGAAGGTGAACTGCTGCTGCTGGAAGAGCTTGTACTTCTCCTCGATCTTCCTCAGGGTGTCCACCACCTCATTCATGTTTACTTACTGCTGGATCTGGATGGAATAAGAGAGACAGGAAACTGCATTTTAGAAATGATGCAATTCTACGTCTCACCTGAGCTGGAATTGTGTAGATTGGTGGAAAACTTACCAAAAAAAAAAAAAAAAAAAAAAAAAAGGCAGGAAAAAGAGGCGTTCTGTTGTTCCGAAGCCCTGCAGTCCCCGACCCCCAGCAGTCCGTCAGTGCCTGTGCGGCAGAGCCCCGAGGGCAGCGGTGCCAATGTGATGTCACAGACGCTGCCGGGCTGTGGGAAGGCAGTGCGGCCATGCCTCAGGCACAGCGGGGCCGGGGCAGCCCCAGGCCCTTCTCTCCTGGCTGTGAATCCTCGCCCCAGCGCCTCCCCAGCTCTCCCGCTCCCTGGGGCCGGCCGGGCCCGCCGGACCCCCCGGGCCGTTCGTGCGGCTGTGGGCGCCCCGCTCCCGCCCCGGCGGGCCCTGCGGCTCCTACCGGCCGGTGTTGGGGCGGTGTTGGTGCGGCAGCTCCCGGGAGGGGCCGGGCTGGCGGCGCTGCCGGGCCGGGCGGGACGAGCGGGCGGACAGCGCGGGCCGCGGGCCCTCGGCCCCACCGCGCCGCCGTCTCCATGGCAACCGTCGCCGCTCGATGACGTCACCTCGTTCCCTTTACTGTAAACGAGGCGCTGACCACGCCCCCGGGTGGTGATAAGGCGTTGCTCGTCGCGCTGTGATGACGTCCCCGTTAGCAACGCGTCGCGTTGCCAGGGCGGCCATGGCGGAGGCGGACACGGAGGACGCGACCCGGCCGTGGCCGCCGCCCGCGGGCACCTACGCGGAGGAGCGGGGGCTCTTCCAGCTCCTGCAGGTGAACGGGGAGCCTGGGCAGGGAGGGGCAGCGGGGCGGGATCCTGTGCAGGGTGATGGGCGGGTGTCCGCCTGCGGGACGCGGCCGTGGGCTCTCCCGATTAATTATTTTAATTGGCAGTTTCTGAGACTCATAGGTATGATTTGATTTGCGGGAGAAAGTGGCAGCCCACGGAAGAAGGAGTCGGTGGAAGGCGGGACAGGACGGGAGGGGAGGAGAAAGGGGGGGACAGTGATAAATTGGGTGCGGGAGAACGCGGTGAGGCTTCTGTGGGGCTGAGCTGGGGCTGTCACTGTCTGCTGTTCATTCCCTCTGGTAAAACCCTTCCCTTTTTGTTCCTGTTGTGCCTGTTCGCCGAGGTGTCAGAAATAAAGCGAGCAAAGTGCCCGTGTGGCGTGGCTGTGATTTCGGTACCTGGCAGGGCTGGTTCCCCTGCTTTAGAGTAGGGTGGGTTTGGTTCTGGAGTTCGGGAAAAGCCCTTGTGTCGTGCATGGGGAGGTTTGTGGGAAGGACTAAAAATCCTGGTGCTGTTCTGATAGGAGAACTTGCTGGAGAGCATTCCCCTGTGTGCTGCTCTGAACTCTGCTAAAAAATCATTTCTGCTCATTCAAATGCACGCACATGTTTATTTCCTTTCCTTTCCTGTTTTTTTTTTTTTTTGTGCTATCTTTTTCTCTGTTTATTATGACCACTGCAGCATAATATTTGTGTTTTGATTTGGGTTTTTTTTAAATGAAGTACTGTGTTTTACAAGCCACGAGACATTGAACTCAGCTGCAGGGACTCGTATTACATAAAATGTTTGTGGGATTTACTCAGGATCGTGCTTTAGTTGTGTTGGAGCAAAATAATGACAGAAACACAGCTTGAAATTGTTGTGCTAAACATTTACAAAACTTAAAATGTAAAAACTACATGAGACCCTAACTGTGAACCTCCCTCAGAGATTAACAGAACAACTCATGTGAAATTAAACTGAGTTTAGCAGAATTGGATAAATAAAAGGGTTTGGGCAAGAAACAGTGCAAGTGTCAATCACTGTCAGCCTGAACATTTTTTAATTATAATAAATCCAGATTTTGTTAGGTTTGTTATTTATACAGGTGCTGGTAAGTGTAGTGCAGAATCCAGATTGTTTAGTTTAAATAAATGTTGCTGGAAAGTAATAATTTTTAAATGAATTTTCAATAAAAATACAAATTTCATCTTTTATGCTCTGTGCTACCCAGACCTTGATGCATCAGAACTTGCACGATCACCAGTTAATAAACAAAATTGAGTGTTTTAATTATTCTAATGAAGTGGATGAAGTAGAAAAGGAAAATAGGCCACTCTAATAAGAGACAATCAGTTGGTGAGGATATAAAATTTTATGGACTTTATGGAATTTAGTTGCAGATATAAAAGTGTTATGGCTGCTGTTCAGAAACATCTCTTGCAGCACGAGCATTTCTGCAGCTTGTCTAAATTAGAGCATTAGTTCTGTTTGATGTTTAATTTTAATTAGAGGACTCGTGACTGGGCTGAAATGTCTTGCTAGGAAATGTGTGGATTTCTCAGGGTTTTGCTTTTTTCCTGCCTGTAAAGCCCAAATTCTCCCTGAAACCACTGCAAAATCTCTGCTGTTATGGGTGGCAGCTGAAACAAGGCTCCGTATAACCTCAAGGGTTCAAGATGAAAATGGCCTCCAAAACAGACATTCAAGGCAAGGCTTTAAGCCTTTTTTTGCCTTTCCCCCCCCCCCCCCCCTTCTCCCCACCCCTTTTCCTGCAGGAGCCAAGGCTGGTACAGGTGTGAAAGGTGCCATTTCTGTGGGTTATGTTTTCAACTGCTCTTGTCTGTTCTGCACTCCTCTGGGCTAGTCAGAAACTTGTGGGAATGTGCTAGAGAAGGCTCATCCTGCCCTGCAGAGACACAAATTCAAGTTAACTCTGGTTTTCAAACTCTTTGTGTGGTTTTTATGTCAGTGCTGCCTCAAGCATTTTTAACCCCAAGCTGCTTGAGCCAAACCTTTCTGGTGTCCATAAGTACCATAGATAAACTGAATTAAATAGGTTGGGTTTTTTTACTGGCAATTTTCTGACCCTCATCAGTTTTTCAACATCTAAAATAGGTTCTGAAGTCTCAATTTTGTCTGTGAAAGAAAATAAATAAGCATTTATAAGCTGTTTAGGATCCTCATTGTAACATTGCTGTAAAAATGCAAGATATCACGACTGCAGAGCCGTGTTCAATTTTCCTCTGACTTTGTCCTATTTATTTCCAGAACATGCTTGAAGAGCTATTAATTCATAAGCCAGATGATCCCATTGAGTTCATGATAAACCACTTAAAGCAAAACAATGATGATGGTAAGTGGAAATGGAGACACCAGAAATAGTTCAGCTCCTGATTTGAAAGCAGCTGTTGGGAGCTGTGCTGCTCTTGGCAGGTGATGGATCAAACTTTTCAGCCTGAGTCTTGGGGAGGGGGGAAACAAAAAAAAAAAATGGTGAGCATTTTGGAATACTTATAGGCAAGATGCTTTTAATTTCTTTTTTTAGTGGGTAATCTAATAAGAAATGCACTTTAACAGTTCTAACAATGAAACCCTCTAAGGGAATAACAAAGAGTTCTGGTGTATCAATTATTAATGCCTTCCGTGCCCCATCTGATATTTCCTGTTGTCTTTAAGCTTGCTAATTACTCCTTTTGTCAGGTGTAAATTTGGGTTCCTATTCTACCTGGGCTGGCAGATTCTCTGCTTTTTGATTAGTTTGTTACTCTGTGCTGTTAATGAGTTCCACAGCTCAGTGGCATCTCAGCTGAAGGAACAGTGAGTGTGTCTGCTCCTCTGTGGAACAAAACCTGGTAAATTGAATGGGAAGTCTGTATTCTGCACAATAAAAGCATGTACCCTCAATCAAATTATTTGATTTACAAACTGTTCACCCTTAGGCAGATTATATTTGGATATGCACAAGTGAACTGTAATTTTTGTTCTGCGTGAGCTGTCAGGGAGAGCTGGTGTCATGGAGCTTTGATGTTTCTTTAAAACCAGAGTAAACCATTATGAAAGTTCTGCTGCAGCATCAATGAAATCATTATCACTGGAGGTGCTGTGAGCTCTTAGTGGTGCTGATCAGCTGGATGGTGATTGAAATGCTGCTAAATATGTTAAAGAAAAAAAAAATCAAATCCTGCAAATTGTGCCCAGCCTTTTCTGGTGCAGGCAGCCTGAATAATCAATCTGGTTTGTAGACCCATGGAAAATATGTATAAGAATTTCCTGCAGTTTGATAGAATGCTGATAAAATTTCTTCACATTGGACTAACATTTGTCCTGAAGCCCCACAGTATTATTTTAACAGACTTCAGTACTTAGAGGCTAAAGACAGAATTACAGCAATTGTTTGTCAAGGGGAAAATGCTGTCTGCTTTTGGTCTGGAAAACCCTGTTAAGGAAGGAAAGGAACTCCAATTAAAATTAAAGCCTAAATGTTGTTTTAAGAATAAATTATATGGAAAATAATGTAACAGAAATGTGTAGCAGAGTTGATTTTACTTTTTGATCATGGCGGAAGGTGCTGACTATTTAGAAGAAAAAAAAAACCTTATTAGAGCCATCAGTAAAGTGATGAATTTTCATGATCTTGCCTTGCCTAGACAGTTTTAGCCCTAGAGAAAATTTCAAACAGAGATGTGTGGAAAAGAAGCATTGCATCTATCCCAGGTGTGAAGTTAGAAACCCTTTTTAATGAATATTAGGATCTAAAGTACTTTTAAAAATATAAACAAGTCTAATGGTGATTATAGCTTACAACTGCCTCAAAAATATTGTAGGTCAAATGTGTGGCAAAGTGTTTGTGCTTAGGGCTCTGTGCTATTGTTCTTTCATGTCTTCCTTCTAAAAACCTTCAAGGGCCACATAAAGACTGATAATTCTTTCATATTCAAAAAATGCAAATTTTCTACATGGTGTCTTGGTTTGTGCTAATGAAAAAGGCTTTCAGGGTCTGGGTGGCATTTCTGTGAGCTCAAACCTCTGAAGGGAAAAGTTCTGCCTGAATGTTCAGTATGTACCCTGTGCTTCTCCTCTTTGACAAAGGATTTCTCTTACAACTTAAGCAAATTTTATTGTATTGATATTAATAATAAAATCTCTTGGATTTATATCAAACTCTGTGAATCCAGCTGTTGTTTTGTGTTATTCCAGGATTCAAATAGGAATAGGAGTAGGAACCCAAATTTACACCTGACAAAAGGAGTAATTTGTTGTTGCTAAAATTGTTGTTGAATGTTAAAACTTGCTTTACTTGGACGAGTAAATCCCGTAACATCTCATCAGACTAAATACAGAATTAAATCTGATTTTTTACCAAAAATTTTACCAGAATTTTCTGCCTTCATGTAGCTGCTGCTTTGGAGCTGCAGTATTAAATAGTGACTCTTTGTTGCTTGGAGGGGTTAAACATTTCACCCGTGGTGTCCTGGTGGTGCCCCTGTGTCCCATGTTTGGGGAGAAGGCTTGAGAGGAGTCCTACAAGTGTGCAAATGAGTAAATCAGTGAATTACACTGCCCCATCTGCTGCCAGCCACTAAGCAGAGAGCAAACCAGATTTAGTACAAAGTGAGCATTTACAGTAGCCCTGGGCAATATTAAAGCATGAGATGGTGTATATAATGGTATGTTTCGTTTTTTATCAAACGTTTGTCCAAGAAAGCTGTGTATTAAAGCTTCAATACCTAAGGGCTTTCTTGTGAATTTTAAATCATGCTCCTAGTTAAACCTCAAAAGGATCTGTGGATGGAAAGGTTTTTTGATTTTCTTTGAAGTGGTTTGAAGAAGTTGATTAGTGTTGGCACCCAAGCACTCTTTTATGACGCTGTTTATAAATAATTCCTAAGTACCGGGCTGGAGTTTCAAGGTGTTAGATTTTAAAAAAACCCTAGGATTTAATCACATTACATTTGAAAGAAATTAGGTGATAAAAACAGCTGATGTATCCTTTTAAAGTATTTTTCTACATTGTGTACTAGTTCTGTTGCACTTGCAAGAACCAATAAGGGGGGAGTTGTTCTTAAACCTTCCAAGTCAGATAACTTTGTAAAGATGAATCTGTAATTTGGGTTTCATGTATGTTTAAAAATTGCACCTGCCCAATAACTGTTAAGTGCATGGAAGGCCTCATGAAAATCCATTTCACATCCTTGCCTGTCTGCTCCCATCAGACACGATCTCCCTTGGTTACTGAGAGCTGAGGAGGTTTTTGGGTGAGTGGATCCCCTCTCTGCTCTGACCCGTGTTACTCCTAATAAATACTAACCAGTCCCTCCTGCACAGACTCTGATTTAGGGCTTTTTTTTTTTTTTCCCCTGTGGTATAGGGGGGAAAAACATCAAAGCTGTTAATATAAAATGACAGTTCAAGGGATTGCAGCCCAAGGTGTATTTATGGAAAAAGTTCCAAATACTTTCCTATGAGTGACTCCATTTCCTCCTGTTTGCCTTGCCTCTAATTCATTCCCAACAAAGCTCAGGGCAGTCATGCCCATTGTGTTGTGTGTGTGCACTGGATTAAGAATTCCTCAGAACTGGGATGCATTTTTTGCACCTTGCCCCCTCAGGGAAAGGAGAAGAACGTGCAGCAGAGAAACACAAGAAACAGAAATGAGGAAAATTACTTTAAATGGTGACTAGGAAAAATTGAAGGCTGCTGTCAAAAAGCATAGTGAGGGAGCTCTTCATTCTGCAGTATCTAAATCTTCTCTGAGCCCTGACACAACCTATTTAGGTGAAACTAAAAACTGAAATATCTTTTCATCACGAAATGTGTTAGTTCCGAATCAATGTTTCAGGAATAAAAGTCAAACTCAGGTAAGGAAATGTTTATGGTTCATCCACTAAACTCTCCATGTTTCAATGGATTGAGATATACATATCTCTCCAAGTGGCATGGTTAGAGTGTTAATCTCATTGACCATGGAGATTAAAGGAGGACCCAGGTGGCACTGATTTTCTGTTCCCCCTTTTTTTCCCAGTGGAGCCCAATCCTGAAATCTCCACTGAGGCAGCTTTCCAGCTGAAATAATTGTTTCATGGTGGCTACATTGGTATTATGCAATACAAGAGTGGGAAACCGGTGGGGATTTTTTGCTGTTCTGCACCTTGACATTTGCATATCCTTGTTCCACAGCTCCAAGAATTTGTGTCCTTGGTCCTCCTGCTTCTGGGAAAACTACAGTTGTGAGTACCTTACCCTCAGTGTGGTAGCACTCCCCACTCACTCACTTTCTACTGAACTCAGCATTTTGGAAAATTTTATTCTGGGAAAAGAATTTTGAGATTTATCCAAGTGATAGATGAGCACAAGACAAATCAAAGGGCATCATTCCTGAGGGGTACACACCTGGGTGTTACAGGTTAAATGGATATTTTCAAGTGAGGTCTGTTAACAACTCAGGTAGTGAAACAATTGGAATGCAACAGAATTCTGCCTGCCTTGTTCTCCCAGCCTTTTAACAGGACTAATTAACCTGGGGGAAGTAAGTTAATTGCACATTTGTGGTGTTCCCTTGCTGTGAATTGCTCCATTTGCATGGTCAGTTGTCTCGTGTCCACTGGCACCGTTAAATGCAAAGGTCAAAGTTGCATTTGAACCTCAGAAACGGCAGGTGATGCTGGTGAGGGCATGGTAGGAAGAATATTTCCTTCTTTAAATTCTGTGTTAAGGTACAGGAGATGAAAACGTCGTTATTCAAAGCTGGATATTCTTGAATACCTTTATAAGAAACTACTTAAAGTTGCTTATATACGTCTGTGTACTTAAATGTACTTAAATGTATGGCTAAGGAAAACTCTGTCTTTCTGCAGCCTTCTGAAAAAAATTGCTTCATTTTCTTCCCAAATATTTCAACCTGTATTTTTTTTTTTCTCCCCTCAGGCAATGTGGCTTTGTAAACATTTCAATGCCATACGTGTCTCTCAGGAGACTTTGTTATTCAAGGAAGTATTAAGGCAGACAGAGGAAGCAAAGGCATATAAAGAAAGAAACCAGGTGTGTAAGAGAATATAATAACAGTTGTTCTCGTGTCACAGAACAGGAATTATGTGGCATTCCCATGATTTCCACTGCTGGGTTGAGCAGATGAGAGCAAAGACTCTCTTCTCTCTGTGCTGTACATTGGTGTGTCAGGACACAGAGAAGGGGCAGGAGAGGGAGGCAATGCAAAGTAAAGGAAGTCTTGAAAATACCAACCTTGGAACAAGCAGCAGAACTGGGGGAAATCCAGGAATGCACAATCCAGTCTAGAAAAGCTTCATTCTATTATTAAACACAGTGTCTTCTATCTGGGCATGTTTGATAATCTCAATAAAATAAGCATTAATCTCTGAGGTCTCCTTTGGTACAAAATGCTCTGGAAAATATGTACACAAAGAACCTTTTTTTGATCTGACAGTGCTACTTAGTTGTGCATGCTTGATTTCTCTGTAGCATGACACAAATAACTTACTTGGTGCATTAACTCAAAAAGAGGATGACAATCCAGTCAGCTCCTGACAGCCCTGGAAGCTCTCAAGCTGAGGCAGGAGCAGCTGACTCAGATTGTTGAATTTTCCCCAATTCTGTGCACCTGAATTGCTCCAGTCAGATTTTTAAATCCATTCATTGTGGGCATCCTAACTGATGTTCACAGAACATTTTTTTCCAGGTGTTATGACTCCCAGGATTAGTTGATCAGTAATGTAATTAATTGTCTTATTATTAAAAATTAGTGACAGATTGGGAAAACATGCTGAAAGGTTATCTTGAATACAGAGAAGCATCTGATTCCTGCCTTTTTGGCTGATTCCTTTCTCCAGTGTCAAGGAATTCCATGAGAAATAGACTGGAAGAAGTCTGGTTTTTTGTGACTTTCTCTAACAAGTCCACTAGTTTGAGTTTATATTTTGTCCTTTATCACCCATTTTCATAAACATTTAAGCAATTTCTTATCTGTAGGAATTCTACACCTCTGCTAAATCCAATTTAGAATTGGAATTGGCCAACAGATTTGTAATTTACTGAGGTGGAAGACAGTGTGATACGCAGATTAGGGTTTTTTCCTCAGAAAATTAGGCTAAAATAGGGTGGTGTTTATAAAATTGAATAAAATACTGGATAAGTAAATGAAGTTTGGAGATGCTTCAAGTAGCACGCTTCAAGATCTGAGAGCAAAGAGTTCAGTGAACTCCCTGAACTCACTGGCAAAAATGTTTGCATTTGGCTGGGATGATATGGAATTATTCTTACTGAGAATATGTACTTTGAAATCTTAGTTCTAATTATTAAAGATTGTTTTGATAGGTTCATAAATTTATACTTGGAGGGGGAGAGTTTAAAACAAAAATTCCCTTTGGTTTAATTACTGTAATTATTAACATATTTCAGACTATACAGATGCACTTTCAAGGGTGTCCTTTTGGGCTTATTTGATTTAAAAAGATGGATGGTGTGGAAGATGAAAGTCAAAAATGTCATGGCTAATCAGGTAGTGAGGAGGGCCTGCAGAGCAGAGGCTGCTGGTGGTTCAGCACTGTGCAGTTTGCCTTTGGATTTGATCTTTACACCCTACCATGAGGTTTTCACTAAATAATTTTGTTCTTTTCTGTGGGTTTGTTTCTTTGAATGTAGCTCCTAGAATTAGGAGGGAGCTCCTGGGTTCCTCTAGGTTGGAGTGAATGTTCAGGAACAGAACAAGAGCTTTTTCATGAGTTTGGATATAACCAGGGCATTAAAAAGTTGTAGTCCTGGCCAAAGCAATTTAATAAATGAAGAGGAAAAGCAGGAGCTAAGGCTGTGGTTTTTGGAGAGTCTGATGTGAAGCTCATAAACACAATTTAATGTTGTTTCTCACTCCAAAGGCTGCTGTGGCTGCATTAACCCCAGAGGCAGAGGTCAGGCAGTTTGAGGTCACTTGGCCAATGTCACTGGACCTGGGCAAATCCTGCAAAAAGCTCTGCAAATGTTTGTTCACGTATTTTACCTACTCATTTTACCTAACTTCAGCCAAGCTTTCATCTCTTTTGTGTTCACCCATTAAAGCATTTGTCTTTTCCTGGCACAGGAAGCCATGGAAGGCACTTTAAAAATCCATTATTGCTCTCTGAAGCTCCATTTTTCAAGTTGGACAAGCAATCATTCACCCACACTACCTGGCCACTTACTAATGAGAACAGCTCAGGTAGTGAATTTTAAATACTGAGTGTTCAAAGCAAAATGTGATCATTCTGCATGTAAAAATACTCCAAAAAGAAGTCAGATATTTTTGAATATTCAGTAAATTGAAGAACCACAAGCTACCAATAAATATTCCATGAACAGAAAAAGAGGCTACATTTTTGGATAAATCATTGCAAATTATTCCCTCATCTCCAGTTATTATAATGTTAATAGGAAGCATCTTCAGGTTTTCCTATAGTGAAGTCTAATGATGAGCTATTGCATGTTTCACTTTTCCTGTTAACTGGTTGAAATAAGAAGTTGAAACAACTGTGGTAATTGTGGGTTTTGTGGGATGGGTGTGCTCTTCATGCTGCACTAAATTGCAGTTAAGGTGTTTGCACAGCACCTAATAACTTCAAACTGCTCCAGAGTTGTGTCACGTCCCTGTGCTTTTTAAAAAGAAATAAAATAGAAGAGAAAAATAAATCCAAGGTATCCTTAACTATGCATGGTCAGCATTCCAATTTGTTCCAGGGTAAGCCACTCTGAAGGAACAAAAAGAAACCATTCCAGGTTTGTGTATCCAAAAAAGACCAGCCTTTCATGTGTATTTATCTGAACAAACCAAGTCTAAACATTCATGACACTCAGGATTCTAAAGTAAATTTCTTCAAACTTGATTGCTGTTCTCTCCAAGGTGCCAATTTGGAGAAGCCGGAAATTTTTAGCTGAGGCTGTTTTCAGAGCAAATATATCCGAAACTTCCAAGAAAAATGCCTACTGAAAAAGCTGCCCTACAAAAAAAGTATGGGAATTTTGTGAAAGGGGCATGAAATACAACTCTGATTAGACCAGGCGTGGAAATTGATGTTCCTGAAATAACATGGAATATTTAAAATTAATCATGAGTGGTACAGTTTTTCAGCAAATATGGAAATAGTGATTAAACCAGCGTGGGTAGAAAAGTGTTCTGAACCTGACCAAAATCCCACAGCATTTTTTCCTTTACCTGCTCTGAGTGTTGGGACAGCTCTGTGGGCAAGGTGTGGTTTGGCTGTTACCAAATGTGTGTCACTGTCCATTATTGCAGATTCCTGGGAAGTGCAATCCCATCTCCCAGGCTCACCATATATATTTATGTGTTTATGAGAGATAAATTATAAATGGGCTGCCTGATATGTACCAGATATCCTGATTTCTAGTGGAATAATTAGGCATTCTGCAAGCAGCCTATTGAAAATGATTTTGTAGGCCACTGCTCAGTGGGGGGAAAAACTGCCCAGGAAATGAGACTGGAATGGAGCCACAGAGAGCAGAAGGAGCTAAAACACTGAAATACCTGAATGTGTGTCCTTGGCTGGTTGTGTGCAGCAAACCCCACTCCAAAGGCAGCAGTGAGAACAGCACTGCACGGAGAGAAGGGAGGATAAATTTGGTGTAAATTGGTTTGGCAGGGCAGAGCAGAGCAGCCCCCAGCAGCGAGCAGCCTGCTTTGACATGACACATGAAAGGAGCAGGCAGGTCCTGGCTGTCCCTGGCAGCAGCATGGTGCCCCTTTGCAAGGTGACAGGGGCTGCAGGAGGCTCTGACAAAGCACCCTGGGGACCTGCTGGCTCTCAGCAAAACCAGCAATTTCCTTCCCTCCTGCTCTGCTACCTGCCCCAGTGCTGGCTGATGTGAGGAGAGGCACTGAGAGCCAGGGACAAAAGAGAGAAACAAAAGCAAACCCTGCCTGCCCGGGCCACCTGGGCTCTGCTGTGTGTGCTGGAGCACTTTCTCCACCCTCCTTCCAAGTGCCATTTCCACCACTCCTTGTGAAATTGTTTCATCATCTAGTGGAAGATGATTTTATGAAATCTTCCCACATCATCAGCCAGACTTTTCTCATTGTATGAATTGAAGTTCAAAGGAGTTGCTCCAAGGAATGTTTTTTCCAGATGCCATGAGTCCCAGGATTAGTTGATCATGTAATTATCAACTATGTATTATAGTTGATCAATGTAATTAATTGTCTTATTAAAAGACAATTGTCTAATTATTAACAATTAGTGGCAATTAGATTGGAAAAAAATATGTAGATTGGAAAAAATATGTAGATTGGAAAAATACGTTGAAATATTATCTTGAGTACAAACAAGCATCTGATTCCTGCCCTATCTACCTCTCCCAGCCTATAGAAATACTCATTTTTAGGTTTATACCCTTCAAAGTGATTAGGAAAAAGACATGAGAAGCCACAGGATATGGAACTAAAGGGAACAGAGGGTCAAGCTCACATTGTTAAGTGAAAGATAATTTATTTTAACTGGGAGGTAGAGAATCTGATTGCAGGTTTGTTTTGTTTTTTCTGAGTATTCATTTACCAATAGTGAGAGAATAAATAAGGCATCTGTTGAAATTATTATTGGCTGTCATGAGCTGCATGGACAGAAGTTTAGACTTTGAGTTAAACTGGCTAACTCAGAATTTAACCAAGTTCAGAATAAATGAAAGCCTAAATTAACAGGATAGTGGAACAAATTCTTTCTAGAAGGAAAGGAGAATATTGCTGATTTCTTGTTAGGAAATCAAATATAATGGAAGAAATGTTGAGGGGTGCTGACCATAGGAACGTTGTTCTTCTGTCACATAGCCAATACCTTCTTACAAAACATCTCTAGAGATGGGCAAAGCAGGAGTCACAGAATTAGTCACAGATGCAGTTTCCATCCCATTCCACAGTCCTGAGTTTAAAACTAAACCAAGTTCAACTGCAAAATACATTTTAAATAAAGCTTTTGGATGATGAGAGTTACTTGAAGCTATGAAACAAACCTCCTGAAAATCAGACTCTGTGTTGTTTGCTCAGTGTCTGAGGTTCTGTTTGTGCCACTGAGAGCTGGCAGGTCCCTGATGCTGAGCCCTCTGTCACTGGGGCAGTCAGGGGTCAGCTCCTCGTGGTTAAAAGGATGATTTGTGGATGTGATGTTCTTCTGGACCCCTTTGCAGGTCTGATGTCCAATGTGTGTGTCAGTGTGCAGAACTTGGCACTGCTTTCATGCCAGTGTGCAAAACCCCCATGGATATTCATGCTCTGTGCTCAGCTTCCCTTTAACACTGATTTTTGTGCCCTTATTAACTCTTGGTCATTAACTCATGTTAATGACCCGGGACTCGCAGGGAATTATTTATTTCTTTATTTCCAAGAAGACATCTCACTTCACCTTTAACCACAACGGTGCCTGCATGGTAAAATTCCTTTTGAACTCAATTGTGAATATTCAGCCCTTTTTTTTTTTTTCTCTTTTTTTTTTTTTTTTGTTCTTTCTTTAGAAAATTCCCAACGCGCTTTGGGCCAATCTGATCCAGGAACGTCTGTCAAACGTGGACTGCATCAAACAAGTAAGAATTGCTCCTCAGAGGGCTGCTGGATAAGCACTTACACAACTCGTGCCTGGTATTTAGCATTCCAAGTCCTGAGCAGAGCAGGGAATGGGGGCAAATCATCGGGGCTCCCGAGCCAGTTGCTTTCTTGAACATCAGCGGAGGGAGTTTGGAGCTTTATTAACAGGATAAAGGGGAGGATGAGAGTATGCATATGCTAATCTTCCAGCACGGAGATGATCAAAGGCTGAACAAGCAGAGCTTTGTTGATTGCCTGGGGCAACTGGCAGAGATGGAGTGGACAAAAAAGATAAACAGAAAATAGATAGAAATCAATATTGTTAAGGTTTTTGGCTCTTCTTGAGGAAAAGAGTCTTAACGTTACTAATTTCAGTTTTATTTCTGGTTCTGTCTCTTTTTTTCTCCCTGTGTTAGGAAACACTGCATTTGAATGTATTGTCTTCTGGGTAATAATTAATATTTTCACTCTTAGCTTGAATGGGTTTAGTTGTGTTCAAATCTGTGGCATGCTGTGTTTCTTGCTCCATGTTTCATCATCTGGGAGACTGAAACAATGATTTTTTGATCCTTAGAAAGAAAAAGTAAAGGGATTTTCAGAAACCCTAAATAGTATCAACTTTTCTTCATAAAACACTGCAGCCCTTACTCTATAATTGACCTATTAATGTTGACTTTGCAAAGTAGAATTAAACTTTGTGTTGCTGTTCACTGTGCTTGAATGATATGGGTCTGTCTGGTTTTCCTTGAAGGTCTTTTTAGCTGAGCTATTTTACTTCATTTTATCTCATTATAGTTACTTAGCACTCCAGATTATATATCTGGTAGAACTCAATATATTTTTTTTATTTGTAATATATCCACATAGGACTTAGGCCCTTCAGCTGGCAGGAGAACCTGTTTAAAACCACACATGGTATACTGTCCTGTTAATTTGTGTGGTATTTTTAGTTCTTTTATAACAAGAGCTCTAAAACCTCTCAAAAATGCTAGTTTTTTCACATAGGTCTCTTTCCCTGATTAGAAGAACATATGCTTTCAGGAGGTACTTTTCCCAGTGTTTGTTAACGTGAGTTTTACTGTCAGTGTACAAGCAAAATCCATCACTCTCCACAGGCTGCATCCACCTTATTTTCCTTTTTTTTTTTTTCCCTGTGCTTCCTATAATTGTTGGCATGGCTTTAGTTCTCCTGTCAATAATGAGGGATGGGTCTCTCAGTGAGTTATTTTAAGTATTAGGTCATGTATGAGTAAGGTGACAAGGTGGTTAAAATGCTAACAGCTGCACAGAGTCCTGCCTGCATTTTATGTTCCTGTTGTTGTCACCAGCAGCACTGAATCAGTGCTGGGTGTCTTACAGAACCAGAGGGGAAAAAATCCTTTATGAAGCTTCCCTGACATTCAGCAGGAATGGAGTGGATGTAATCAACCCAGCTGAGGTTTCAACTGGTTTTAGGAAAAACACATTATTTGTTTTCAAAGGTTGTTAAAAATGTTTATATTATTTTTACATTAGTAGATACCATTTACAAATGTTTACATTAATAGATAGATACCACAAATTATAATAGATAGATAGTGACCACAAATTATTTTCTCCTTTGAAAGGGGATCTGTGCATTTTATGTGTAATATTTTGTGTGTGTACCTCAAAGTAGAATTAATGCTGTAGGGTTTTTACATCACTGACCAGATTTATGCCATTTCTTTCAAAATATGAGTCAGCATGTTTTCACTGAAAATGTTCACAGATTAGGAGCAGCATGTTGGACCACAGTACCACCAGCTGTTTGTTTTATTTCTCCTTGTGGTGTCATTGCCTTGGCATTAATTGTGCAGCTTTCATCCCACTGACAGTAGGAATAGAGGATTTTTTGTGCCGTTGTTTTGACACTCACAGGTTTATAGATGTCACTGGCATTCTCTAAGGAGAACATTTTTATTGATCAACAGCTCTGCTGAGGCCCTGTGTTATGTGTTCTTGTAACACAAACCTAGTCAGGACTGTGAGGGATCAGGTGGGGAGGTCTTGCAGCACACACAGGAAACTTATTGCAGGCATTATGTTAGAGCCTGGCACTTGTGAGGCTGATACAGAGAATTTTCATCTTGCAGGGTTAGCACATCTTGGCTGCAGCCCCTCTGACTGCTGGGAATTCATGGAGTGGAGAGAGATTGCTCAGGATGTGTTTGAGAGAGAGCTGAGCCACCTTCCTGGAGGGTTAGAATCTTTAGAAACCAAGCTTAGGCCAGTGAGTCACACACAGAGTGGCAGAATGAGTTGAGATTGGTATTTTTTGTGGCTGCTTTTGAAAGGGAAGGCAAAGAGAACAATGGCTCTGTTTGGTTTTACCTCGATTGGCTCTGTTGGGTTTTACCTCAATTGGCTCTGTTGGGTTTTACCTTGATTGGCTCTGTTTGGTTTTACCTCGATTAGCTCTGTTTAGTTTTACCTCAATTGGTCCTGTTTGGTTTTACCTTGATTGGCTCTGTTTGGTTTTATCTCAATTGGTCCTGTTTGGTTTTTACCTCAATTGGCTCTGTTTGGTTTTACCTCAATTGATCCTGTTTGGTTTTACCTCAATTGGTCCTGTTGTGTTTTACCTCAATTGGTCCTGTTTGGTTTTACCTCAATTGGTCCTGTTTGGTTTTACCTCAATTGGTCCTGTTTAGTTTTACCTCAATTGGTCCTGTTTGGTTTTACCTCAATTGGTCCTGTTGTGTTTTACCTTGATTGGTCCTGTTTGGTTTTACCTTGATTGGCTCTGTTTGTTTTTACCTCCGTTGGTGCTGTTGGGTTTTACCTCAGTTGGTTCTGTTGGGTTTTACCTTGGTAGCTATAGGTAATAATGTTTTCTCTGTGAAACTCCATGCAGAGAAAGTGATTGACAAAGATTTATCCAGGGAGAGAATCTGCCTGTTCACCACATTTTCTGCTTTCTGAGAAGAATGGAACTTTTTAAAACATCTTTACACCTTACTCCATTGACAGAACTAGGGTGCAATCCATGCCTGGATAGAAGGTTACTACTGTCAAGAACCAAAAAAAGATGGCTTCTTAAAGAAACAAATTCATCATGTGAAGTTCTTAATTACACTTTAATGACAGTCAGGAGGGCAAAAACAGACCAATGTTTGCATAAAGCATGATAGGCATATTTTAAGTCAGGTCTTGCTCTGCTGTGTCTTCTTCCCCTTGCTCCGTTCCCAAGCCACACTCCCTTTCCACTCTTTTTTTTTTTTTCCTTTTTTTTCCTTTTTTTTTTTTATTTTATCTGTGACATCTGCTTGGAGCTTGTCCCTCCTGTGATAGCACACTACTTGCAGCTGTTCAGACCTCCAGCTCTGAGCTGTGCATGGGGTGCCCTGAGCATACGGCCTTTTTGATGTGTGATAAAACAGAACCGAGCCACTGGGGGTATGGAGAGGCAGTGCAGCAGAATATCAATAAACCTGTTCTGAACAAAGCTGCAGCTCTGTGCTGGAATAGACATTTCACTGAAGTGTCAAGTAGATGGATAATATATTCTAATTAGGGACTGACTGATACCCTGCAACTCAGAGACCTTTGGAAATCAGCTCCAAAATGCTCACTGTTTTTGTAATGCGTGTTGGTTTTGCATTTGTTTAATGCCTTCAAAATATCTTTTCTGCAGGGAGCTATTTATTGAGCTTTGTTTTCCTGAATAGCCCAAAATTTTCACTATAAAATTGCTTATTGCCTGTTTTAAGGACCTTTGAAATTTGTGTGTAAACCTCATGAAGTTTGCTGTGGACTGTAAAAAGTATGGATTGGTTATTGCTATAGTATTGTGTTTACTGCCTGTTGCACATTATGTGATTTGAGCCACAAGCAGTAGTGACCTCAGGTTTTGTAGGACAATTTTTGTTTTTTTTTTTTTAATTTGTTTTGTTGTAGTTTCCAAAAATGTTGCACTCAGAGTGGAGAAAACAAGCCAGATTTGTAGTCTTTGTAAATTGGCATTGATTGCCATCAGGCCTCAGATGCCATTTCTCCCTAGAAGATCTGGCCCTGTATATATATATATATTTTGTACACAGTATATTCCAAACTAGTGCTGAAGTTCCTGGCATAGCACTACAAACATTGTTCAGCTTTGCCTTCTGCAAGTCTCAAGGGATAAATTGATTTCTCAGCACCTGTGTGACCTTAGCCAGTGGTTCATTCTAATTTGGCAGAGCAAACACCGGGAGTGGCAAAAACGGCTTGCAGTTACTTGAGTCTTGTATTTTCTACATCTGTCAGCAGGATGACATCTTCCTGAAACCAGGCTAATTAAGGAATTTTAAATAATCTGCTCTATTTTCTTGTGTAATTGGAATGGCCCATTCCCTCCCACAGAAGTCCTGGAGATAGATTTCCCTGAAATACTTGGAGAACCTTTGGACCCCACCCTGACAGAGCACCAGATTTATATGGGAGCTGAGAATGATTGCCAGCTAATGCAATACTAAAAATATCTCCTTTATTTCAGCACAAAGATGGCTCCCAGATTTCCTGAGGAATCACAAAGTTATTTGGAGGGGTGGGATAGAACAGCAAGGGCTTGTGTGGTCAGGCAGCTGCCAGGTAAATTAGGGAGAGTTCAGAAGATTCAGATGTGAGCCTGGGAAGTGGATTAGATTTCAAATACTGCATCAGACAAGAACTGAGTGAGGCTGCAGCTCTCCGTCGGTATTTCACAGATCTGTAAATGTTTTTTTAAAGATGCTCAATCCAACACTTAGCTGGCTATAACAAGGACTTAAGGGAGCAAAAAGCTCTTTTTTCTTTTTTCTTTCTTTTGCTCTGTTGCTTCATTAGCTCTGGGAACGCTGGTTCCATTACTGTGAGTTTTCCTGTATAATTTAAGAAAATAATGAAAGCATGCATATTTTCCTCAGTATTCTTGGCATTAAATCTGTCTTTAGATTTGTTTAGCTCCTTTTTTTTTTATATATATACACACAGTGTGCGCTGGTATCCTTTTGAATATTTCAAAACTGTAGAAATTGTTTTGGGTTGTTTTTATTTGAGATAGAAGTTGGTTTGTTTTTATTTTTAAGATTGAAATATGAAAAAAAAAAATCATAGCTACAACGTATAAGTTCCCATTGCTGTGTGGCAGTGGAATCAGTGCATGCATTTCACAAAAATATCAGTGCTCCATGTTTGCTTTCTTCTCTCACAAGCATCCATGAGAAATACTGTGCTGTGGGAAGATCAGAATGAGGTAATTTTTGTGTAAACAGCACTGAGATTTAGTATGAATTTTGGGGTTTTTTTTTTCTCTTCCAGGATCAATAACTGTTTCATGTTTTTGTTCAATAGGGATGGATTTTGGAAGGCTTCCCTGAAAACCAGGAGCAGGCATGGATGCTGCAATCATCTGGCATTTTTCCTAGGCATGTTGGTAAGCAGCACAAGGTTTGTGTGTGATTGCATCCAGCAGGAAAGACTGGAAGGGTTTGTCTCAACAAATCCTCAATCAATTCAATACCAATGCTGGAGACAGAGTCACCAGAGAGCACAGTGTTTCAGTAGGGTTGAAAGTCTGAGGTAACCTGGGAGATTTTAAGCCCTGTCTTTCACAGCCTTTTCTCCTTCCATGTCAGAGCTCTGTAAATTCCAGACCCTACACCAAGTGGGTTTGAGCAGCTAAAAGTGGCTTTGCTCCTGACTTCCATCTCTAAAAATCAGCTTTTATCCTCAGACTAAACCAGTTCCTCATGTGCTGAACACAAATTGATGCTTCTGTTGAATTAGGGAATGTAAACTTCACCAAGTGAAGTGGAAACATGACGATTTTAAGCTTGACTTTTCAGAGTGGGGCTGGATTCTGGCTGGTTTGGGGTGGAATGTTTTACACACCTTGACAGCTGCCCTTGCCATACAGGAGAAGCCACTTGTCCTAAATTATAGTTAAAGCACCTACTTAGAATATAAAAAATTACTACAATTGTGTGGAATGCAGTGTGAAATGATAAATTCAGAGCTTGCCAGTGAACAGAATTTATCCAGCTTGATGAATTGTCACTTTGGATTTGATTTGGATGATATTCAACTGTAAATGAAGAACTCAGAATCACTGCAGTAGAGTTAGGCAAAAATGTTTAATGTCTAGTACTTGCATGTATTTTTAATATACCTAATAACATCTGAAGTTGAGTTTTGCTCACAATTATATCTGTGCCACCAAGACCTGAATGAGAATCTTACAACTCAGTCTGTCTAGTTAATCAAAAAGAAGATTGAGAGGAGATGAGATTTACTCTGTGTGAGTACCTTAATAGGGAGAAAAGTGCCTGAAAAAGCCATTTAATACAAAGAAGAAAGTCATAAAAAGAACTTGTTTGAAACCTGTAATCAAATGCACTGAAAATAGTAATTAAATTACAGTGTTTAACTGCAAGGATGATTAGCCAAAAGCAACCCAGGGAACTGACAGGTTCTTCCTCTTTTGATGCTTTCTAATCAAGTTTGAACACTTTCCTGTGAGGTTATATATTAAAATAATCAGTTTCACTGGTCTCACCACCAAAGAACCTGGGTGAAAAGTTATGTTTGTGTATAGAAGAGAATCAGTCTCGAGTGTTCAGTGGGAACTTCTGTCTGAGGCTCCAGAGACAATGCTTTATTGCTGCTGGTGATGTTTTTTGGATAATGGGGACAGTTAGTGCCCATGGGTACTGGATTCATGGATATTTTATCCCACTGTACTGTTTAGTAGGTGAAGCAAAATTCTGATTAAAAGTGGAGTATAATATTTGCAGGGAGAATGCTGGGAAATGAAATATGCTCAAGATAAATTCATCCACCTTTAATATTAGGATACATCTGAACACTTACAGGGAATAAAGCAAATTATTAACAAGAGCTACACTTTTAAATTTTTTCTCCTTTTTCCCTTTTTGTTGCCTAGTTATGCTCTATGCCCCAGACACTGTGCTGATAGAGAGGAGTGGTGGGAAAAGGCTTGATCCCCTCACACAAGGTGCAGTATTGTTTGTTCCTGACCTCCCCTGCACACTGCAGTGTTGCTTGGTCTCAGAAACGTTGTAGTACTACTGATGGGGTTAAAATTCAAATGGGATCCCTTTAAGAACTAGTAGGAATTTGTAATTATAAATTTCAGCTGTTTGGAAATGGTATTTGTTGACATTGCTTTATTTTCAGTGCCAATAAAATACAGGGAAATAAAAAGCTCAGGATTGAGCCTGCAAACAGTGGACTATGGCAATACAGAATATTTAAAGGTTAGATCTGTCCATATGAGTTTATAATTTTCCTGTGCATATCTGCTTGGTCCTGCTTTGTTTCTGAGGTGCAGGGATGCTTTTAGGGTAAATAAAATCATTTCCATTAGGTTAAATAAAAACATTTCTATTAAATAAAATAAACTGTCAAATCAACTCAGCTCTGTATTGTCTGTTGAGTTTTATCATCAATCATCCATCACGAGATAAAATCCTGCAATTGCTCAATAAAAAAAATCAGGTTGGATGTTCTGAGGAGTGGAATTAAGAGGGACATTCTTAATTAGAGATCTGTTCATTCATGCTCTTAGCTCCTAACCATGTTCCCTGCAGAGGTTTTCCACACAACCTTTGACTGGCCAAGTGACCCCCTGGTGCAGGAGAGGTTGGTGAAACCAGAAGATCTCTCTGAGCAGGAGGTGTCCAAGAAGCTGCTGGAATATCACAGAAACTTCCCTGAGATTTTCCACATCTACCAGAAGGTTCTGAAATCCATCAATGCAGACCAGCCCTCGGTGGATGTTCTCTCACAGGGTAAATTTGTGTTTTGAGGTCCTGTTTGAGGGCTGGTTCCTGGCTCTTGGAGTCACTTTTGCAGGATTAGGCAACACAGATGGCTCCCAGCTGAGCTGTGCTCTCTCCACAGCAGCATTTTGGCTGTTCCTGGTAATGATTTTACTGGAGTAAGTGCAGATAACTGGAAATTCTCAGCTCACAGCCCTGCCAAGGAAGAGCTGAGTCAGTGGAGCAAATGTCACCATCATTTCTGTGAGTGTCTCTTCTAAAAGGGAGCCCTGTGGCTCAATTGTTCATCTCCCAGAGGGCCAGTACCTTCCAAAGTCTGAGAACAACAAGGAGGAGTAGTTCAAAGCTGGGAGCATTTCATTGTTTAAAAGCTGTTTGTGCTGGGAGCTTTCCTGTTCTTGTTTGCCTTTGCTTGACTGTAATGCAATCTGACTTTTAATGTTGATCCTTCTAGAAGAGAATAAGGAAACTGCCAGAAAGACCAATTGATGTACTTTGTAGCTGTCAGTCTGCAGATGATCTCTTATATCCCAGTAATTTTGCATCTCAAAAAGGTCTTTTTTTTAATAACAAGTGCTGCACTTTTAAGATAAACAAGTAGGAAGTTTATATTCTGAATTTCCACATTAATTACCTCTAAATTACTTAATTAAATTTAAAAGTTCATATCATCATTCATAAAGAATTCATGCCTTGAATTGTAAATAAAAATGTGAGTGCCTGAATATTAATTATTATTAATTAATAATGTAGTGAGATAAATTGAAAACTGGAATGAAAAAATCCTCTCTAGATCTTTTTTCTGCAGTGCATCAAGCAGCCAGATTTTTTTTAAAGAATAATTAGATGTGGAGACTGTCTAGGGGATCATTACTCCTAATTAACTTGGTTATTTACTGCAAATTAAGCATCATTTGTAAGCAGGGTGCTTTGCCTGTAATGTTTGTGCTTTTCAATACACTGGGTTGTGGAAAATGTTCAGAATAAATGGAGCACTGCTTGGGTAGCTGATACTCAGGGTTTAGGAAGCCATGCAGCAAACACTATTTTCTAGTAGGATTTTCCAGTTTTTTTTTGTTTAGATTTTTATTGCCCCAGCTAAAATTAAAAAAAAAGAGCGCTCTCATAAAAATGAGCAGTATTGTGGGTTGTTTCACACAATTATAAAATGTTGTGAACTGGATGCAGCTGGTGCTGCCCTGATGTGGGAATGAGACCCAGTGCAGGACCCCAGCACTGCAGGAAGGGATGGGTACAATCCCATGGGGCTGCAGTTTTAATTTCTCCATATTTTAGGGCTGCTATGTAGAAATTGGAGTTTGCTGGAGGTGTTTCTTTATTAGGAAATATTTTCTAATCATACCAAAGCATCTAAGGAAGGGTTCCCTGAAAAATTGTTGGTACAGAGCAATGCATTGACAATGGCTCCTAAAATCCTGATCCTCAAGGTGTTCCCCACCAATCCTTTTGTGCTTTTTAATTTAGCTTATGACTCATACAAACAGTCATGTTTAAGCTTGTCCCTAAAATTCATTTTTTATTACAAGGACTCTTTAGAGAGTCTCTTATTGGAACTGAAGATCTCACAAAAACTGAGAGGCTGCAGCTGATCTGGGCTCACCTTTGGGTGCACCCACTGCAATCCCAGGGGAATCAGAGCTGTGCAGATGTGTCCTTGCTGCTTTGGTCATGGCCAACCAGAAGGTTTAACTGTGGCATTTGACTGATCCCTGGAAAAGCCAAAAGATGTCACAAGTATGGCTTGGGCTGCTCCCTTCTCTGGCATTCTCAACCATCAAATGGCCATGGCTATGTCCAAATATAATCCCAATTTTGTCCTCACTGCCAGTGCTGTGACATCTTTTGGCTTCTTGGTGATCTCTCAGGTTCTCTTTTGGGAATGTAACCAAGTCCAGGCCTCTGTAATGTGGCAGAGCTGATGATGCTTCACATGTCCCCTGGTCTTTCCAAACCTGCAGGTTGACCTGAAGGTGCTATTTCCTGCTTGAGGCAAAATTTAGGAGGATGGTGTCCAGCAAATGGGTGGAATCAGGCAGAGAAGCTCAAATATTCTTTACAAGTTACACAAAAAGGATGGGTAAAAGAATAAAACATCCACCCTCAGTTCTGTGTTGTCAAGGCTGAGCAGTGTCATGACACACTGTGCTACAAGTCTATAATATTGTAATTAGGAGTCTTAATCACACACAGCTGGATAAATGTCATTAATTTAACATCCCGAGTTTTTACACTTAAATATTTGTTCAGAAACTGCAGAAAGTATTAAATGTAATTACAGCCCTCTATAATTTGCATGGTAAAATTGTAGCTATCAAGCAAAAATTACTTCTGCTAAAAACAACATGGTAAGAGAGCAATTATTAATTGAATCTGCTCTTTAAAATGGTTTGACAGGCACTGATGAAAGACAGAGGAGTGTAATGATAGTGAGATTTCTAAAATGCCTCTCAGAGTAAATTGCTGACAGGACACTTTTATATCACTGTCCTGATTTTGGGTGCAGAGTCTGGATGTTCCAGTGATAAAATAAACCATGATCAACATTTTTTTAAGAGAAGAGAGTAGTTAAAGAATGATTTTTTTTTTAAAAGAAATGGCTTAATTTTTTGCCTTTAAGAGAGTAGTTAATCAATGATTACATTTATTTTTTTAACAGAAATGAGTTAATTGTTAGCCTTTCTGCCCTGCTGCAGTCCTTGCCTTTGTCCAAAGCCGGCACCGATCTGCTGCCCCCTTCACTCCCCGGATCCTCTTCCTTGGCCCCCCAGGCAGTGGGAAGAGCCTGCAGGCAGCACTGATAGCTCAGAAATACGATGTTGTCAACAGTAAGTTCTCAGTAAACGTGCACTCTGCTCAATTCCCCCTTTCTCTCTTTTTGATCTTTCATCTTTTGCTGTCTGTCTGTCTTACCTGCTTATAAAATCTCTCTCTTTGTCCGTTGCTGTGGATGTCGTTTCTTTTGAGAGAACTGAAAAGTATTTGAATGAAGAAGTGTAAACCAAGTATGTATTCTGTGACAAACCAGCTCTAAGGCTTTTTTAGTCATCATTTCATCACTTTTTATACCTTTTACATCTGTATTTTTTTGTTGTTAGACTCCTGCAGTGCTCTGAATTCTTCTCTGGATCAGTGGATCAGGAGTAATGATTTCAGTTTCAGCTCTCTGACCAAAATTGGGGCACTTTTAGAATAGAATTCACTCTGAACTTTAGTGAGGTCTCAGGCTCTGCACAGCTCCAGTAATGTGTGAGAAAATGAAGGAATTAATTAAAAGTGCATCATCTTTCTTCTGTCAAGGAAGACCAAAAAATTCTGCATGAGACTTGTTCATGATTAACATTTAAATGTTAAAAAGTTCTGTACATAAAAGTGCAGCTTGGTGAGGATCAGTGCAGTATTTTCCATGTTCTGTAGTGTCTTCTCACAGTGGAGTGGCCATAAATTATTTTAAACAAATGTCTGGTAACTGTAAAATTTGCTGATTAGTCACATCATGTTAGTTAAGCAAAAGGCAGTTTTGATAGAATGTTTCTGCTGTCAATTATTCTGCCATTGCTGTATTTTAAAATATCATGTGAAAAATGAAATATTTGTAGATTTTTTCAAAGCTGTATTTTTATTAATTGTGTAATTGTCTTAAAGAAAACAAAACATGCTTTAATATATTAAAATAATTTTGTTCTTGTCCTTTTGAATTTTTTCAACTTTTTTTCTAAAACTGCAGGTTTCATAGTGTTCCATCTAGGTCAAAATTTGCATTTTTTTTCTAAAGTAACTACAATATGAGAGAGTTGCAGCTCTTTTTATTAAAAATCATTACCAGTGCTTTACCCATATGTTGAATTTTGTTTTAAGTATTCTATAACCCAAATATTAGAAGAATTAAGTATTTAATACAGAGTTGGAATACCATAATTTTTCAGAATAATTTTCAGCATACACTTAATTTCTATTAGGCCATTGGGCTTGAAGCTCAGACTCAAAAATTTAAATCTATATTTCAATAGTCTCATGAATTGGATTGAATTTAGGTGTGTACTCATTAGGTGTCTCAAATTGGGGTCTGTGCACTGAGTTTCTGTTATGTTTTTTACACTATTTATTTTTAATATGAATTTACTTCTCCAGGACAACTGGTGACTGTTCAAATTGTCACTTAAACATTGAATTTTATCAGCTCTGTCCCAGGAGCAGTGCTGGGGGGGTTCTCACTCCTGTTGGCCTGGCAGTGTGATTAACAGCAATAAACTGATTAAAGGGCTCCATCTTCTCCCATCAAAGGCAGGGCCTGTCAGTGCTATTGATTCCAGGAAAAAAGGAATCAATTTAGGATTATTAATTGAATAATCTCCAGGGGGACCTATAGCTAATATTTTTTACCAAATTGGAGTTGTAACCAGGATTTCTGCTGTTGTGTGACCTCTCCATGTCTTGGTTCCCTCCCTCACCTGGGCAGCCAATGCCCTCCAAAGCCAAACCAGGAATATTTAATGTACAACTGTCCTGGCTCAAACCTGAAATCTGCATCTCCTGGTGTTCTGTGTGTGTTTGAAGTCAATGATAATACTGCAATAGCACAGGTTTTTTTAAATGTAATCCTTACATGATCATTAAATGATCCAGGGAGGCCCTTCCTGAACTGAGCATTATGCTGCACCTCCAGCAGAGTGGTTCAGATGCTGTTCAGCAGCTGGAACTTTATTCAGTAATTACAAGTTTATAAAAAGTGCAAGCCACTAGCAATCCCTTGAGTTGTTATTTCAGAAATATATTTGATTAATATCATTCTCTCCATTTTTAATATGTTCTTTGCCAAATACATTCTTTGTTTTTTTTCATTCCATATCCTCACTCTCCTTGCTTTTCACTCTACTTGGCCAAAAAAAAACCCCAACAAAACCCTAACAACAAACTCAGAAAAACATACAACTTTTATTTTATTCAGTGACCTTATTCCAGTATGCAGCTTCTGGGTTCTTTTCTTTGCTTTGCTTTGTTGCCTCCTTTTTAAAATTTAACCTTGTGTCTTTTTTGTTCTTCCTTCCTGTTAGTTTGCTGTGGGCAACTGCTAAAGGAAGCTGTTGCAGACAACACAAAACTTGGAGAACTCGTTAAGCCTTACATTGACAGTGGATGCCCAGGTAGGGCACATTGTTGTCTCATTACACTGTAGTTACAGATTTGTAGCCAAAACCAAATTGTGAGTGAATTTTTGTTGGTCAGATTCTAATCAGAGCGGCCTGGAAGTCAATTAATTCCATTTATTCCATGGGATTTGTAGGACTCTGTAACAGAAGTTTGATTTCTAAGGGGATTTTTATATCCTCAGAGCAAATATTCACTGTTCCTGCAAAATTCAGATTTCTTGTGCACATTCTGAAATCTGAATTCCATGTTTTAATCTCTAATTAAATCTAAATCAGTTCAAACTGTTTTTAAAGCACACTATTATGTCAAACTGCTTTCAAAGCACAATAATATGTTTTATTTTATATTTGGATGTTGACTTTTAGAATACTACCACAGTTTCCTCTGCTTTCATGGAAATATTTTAAACATAAAGCTTCTTTGTATTTCATTTCTATCAGCATTTTTGGTTGTGGGAGGGGACTGCCATGACAAATGTTGGGTTTACTTTGCTTTTGGAAGGTTCTGCAGGGATTTCATATAAATCAAAAATACTGTGAGCTCCTGAGGGCAGCAGCCTAAACCTGTGTGTCTGCTACAGTTGATGTGCTTGTCTGTGTGTGGTGGGTGTTGGAAATCAGAGAATATCTGGAATTAAAGAGGAGCAGTCATGTTGCAGGAGGGTGGGAGAATGTTTATTTTGCCAAATTGCAATGGCCTGGGAGAGGAACTTTCAGTGCTGTTTCTGGCAACAGCCCAGATGGTTTCCAGTGGTACAAACACCAGGAGACAATTGTGCTGAAATGGGGAAATCTCAGTTAAACTTCAGTATTAATGGAATTTTGAGCAAAGCCCCCCAGAGCAAAGAGAAATCTTTGTTGTCCTTTATTTTTAGCGAAGAAATGTATTTGGTAAGGTGAAAAGCTTGAAAATCTCCTTTGTTTTTTGCACAATAGCTTAATTCTGGGGCTGAATTAGACAGCTCTGAAACACCAGCCTTTAAAATTAACTGAGCTTAAATCAAGGTTCCCTTGACAGCAAACCCAGAGATTCAGCATTTTCCAAAAGATCTTTGGCAGCCTGCAGCTTTGGGGGTGCCATCCCTCTGTCAGGCACTTTATCAGGCTACAGGATAAAGGATTTTAACTCTGACCTCCATCTGCAGTGCATGGATTGCATTTATCCCAAATTCAGCCACCAGCTCAGAGCACCCACAGCAGCCCCACACTGCTGGGAGCTGCTCTGGGGCCATGGGAAGGGACAGCAGGAATCTCTGCAGCCTCACAGGGGAAATTTGGGTCCTCTGGAATGGGCACAGAGATCTAGGAGAGGATTTGCTGGGTGTGAGATACCCAGAATGGGCATTGAACTCAAAGGCAGGAGATCTCAGAGTATGGTGTGCAGGGGATCTGGGGTCTCCAGGTGTGCCAATAATTCCTTCCTTTTTGACCTGGATGTGGCTGGTTTTGAGTTCAGTTTAACTCCCACATAGAAATCCTTTCAAGCTTTAGGCCTGACTTGCATGGTATCCATTAATTTCAGAATCTTGTGTGCATGCTGTAATTTCTGCTCTGGGAGCTGCTCTGGGGCCATGGGCAGGGACAGCAGGAATCTCTGCAGCCTCACAGGGAAAATCTGGGTCCTCTGGAATGGGCACAGAGATCTAGGAGAGGATTTGCTGGGTGTGAGATACCCAGAATGGGCATTGAACTCAAAGGCAGGAGATCTCAGAGTGTGGTGTGCAGGGGATCTGGGGTCTCCAGGTGTGCCAATAATTCCTTCCTGTGTGATCTGGTTTGACCTGAATGTGGTCAAACACATTTGACTTTTGAGTTCAGTTTAACTCCCACATAGAAATCCTTTTAAGCTCTAGCCCTGACTTGCATGGTATCCATTAATTTCAGAATCTGGTGTGCAGGCTGTAATTTCACTGTCTGCTCATCTCTGTGGAGAGGAGGATTGTAAATACCTCACTCTCTAAATTTCAGTTATGGCTGAGATGGGAGTTTGGATGATCTGTTTATTCCAAGATAGTTCCTCTAAGAGCTTCCTTTACTAAAATGTTCTTTGTGTGTTTTATAAACTTCATCTTAACCATTAAAGTTCCTTAAAGGAGATGCATTCCCAGTGGAGTAAAATAATTGCACAGACCATAATTTTTAGCCAGTCCTAAAAATATGCACATCCTTAGTCCAAGGGAGCTGCTTTCATTTCAGGAAAATGAAATTGAAGTTGTAATTCCTTTCTTCCTCCAAATTAGAAATTATTTCAGATTTAGATTAATTTTTTTAATACAGCATGCACAGATAAAGCTGTACAATGCTTCTGAATATTAATAGGGATCATAACTATATTTCTGTGCATTATGCTAAAAATTCTCCCTTAGATTTGCTGATATGCACATATATATTTTATTTGGTGGGACACAGCACAAAATTAAGGGCTGAATAAAGATAAATATCATCCAGCAAAACCAGAAATAATAAGTTCTGTCATTTTGCTAATCCTCCTCTCCCAGGGATAACAAAGAATGAATTTACATTAGTAAACACTAACAAGAATTCATTACTGCCCTCACAAGAGGCTTGGAGAAAATGGAATAACACAGGGTACTGAAGAGGAAAGGTGGGCAAAGAATCTTTGCATCTTTGCTCTCTTGCTGCAGCCCAGGTTAAAACAGGGGGGAAATTCTCCTGCTATGGTTGACTATTGATAGTTTCCAGAAAAATCTCACGTGCAAAAACTCAGTGTAGCCAATAGCAGACAGTGGTGGAAGTGAAAAAGCAAATAGAACTTCAACCTTTCCATGGCATTTCTGGTTGTTGAGAGGCTTAGCTGTGCCTGTGGGTGGGGAGCCCTGCAAGTGACATTCCACAGAGCAGGGGAACAAAAGGCAGACCAGGAAAATGCTGTTCTCAAATCATTGCTTGTCAAAACGAGAGCCAGTGCCATCAAATCTTGAGGACATGCCTCATATATTCTTAAAATGCTGCCCCAGGGGACTGATCCCAGCGTGTTTCCCTTCTTGTGGACAGCACTGATTGCATACAATTAGTGATTTAAAATGTGCCAGCAGGGCGTGGTGTGGTGCTGCAAGGAGGCTCAAAGCCCTGCCTGCTCACAGCTGACTCATTTTTGAGTTTTTGGGGCTGCCCACTGCCTGTTCTGCCCCAGTTCTGCTTGGCTAACCCAGATTCTTCATGACTTTAGATCCATCCACATTCTTTGTGCTGTTTTTCCTGTACTGCTGCTTCATGTTGACGCCATGTATTTCCAGGAACTGCCCAGATAATTCTGTTATTCACCCCAAAAGGCAACCCAGTGTTCCCATTGTCAGTATTTTCTGATGTTTGCTGACCTGCTTTTTGTCAAAATCCTCAGTTTTGTATATGGTGATTTATTTTACCTAATGAAGGTAGCATAGGTATTTTTGAGCCCATTAATTTTTTAATTCCCAGGACATCCTAGTCTACAATAGGTGCACACCAGATATTGAAAAATGCATTTTTGGTGATAAGTTCAGTAACCTGACAGCTTTCTGCCTGTCATAAACACAGAGCTGTGCTTTGGACAGCCAGTGTGAAATGCAGAGATTGTTCCTTTAGGAAGTTGTGGTCTCACTGAGTACTGGGTAGTTATTATTCACTATACTCTGGGCAGAAAATCACCAACATTGGAGTCTAAGACCAATCTTCTGGTCCCTAACTCAAGTTAGATTAACTCTTGGTCAATAATTCTAAATTCAGCACTCACCATTTGCTTGGGCAGCCTGGGAAGAAGTGGAGTAAGAGGTGAGTGCAGTGGCCAGAACCCTCCCACAGGCAGCAAGACAAGTGCCATAAATTAATTTATTTGATTTGATTCCTTCTGAAATGTTCTGAGGAAGCAGTTCCATAGACTTGGCCCTCCCCTGGACAGATGAGACCTGAAGGAAACCTTCAAACAGAATTCCTGTCCTCAGGTTGCTCCAGTTCTGAGGAGGGCTGGACGTGTCTCACTGAAAACATGGACAAAAATTAATTAAAAGTTCCATCTGCATGATCTTTGATAACCATCTTAAAGATGTCTGTCAGAATTTGATACCCTGGGAGAACAACAAAAAAAAATGCAGAAAGTATTTTTGATTTCCCCACCTAAATGTCCCTGGTGTTTGCATTGTGTTAATGGAGGGACAAGAAGAAGCATTTTGGGGGTATCACAAAGATAGGGGAGGTCATCAGTCAGTTGGAATCTGCATGTTCACTCTGTCCAGTTTTTGTGGTGAAATAGCATGGAGTGATCACTGCTAATGAATATATCTGTTTGTGAGGCTGGAATAAATAGAGCCAAGAAAAGTGAGATGACAGGAAAGCAGAATGAAGGGAAAAAAAACCACTCCCAAACCAGTAAGATTCTGCTTTTCAGCTGGGAGAACTGCTATTAGTTTGGGTGATTGGGTTTTTTCCCACCAAAATGAAGATTCAGGAGGTAAGAGAACTGATTCATGGAACACACATAACATTGCACTGTTTGCAGCCTGTTAGAGTTGAACACACACAACCTGTGTTGGTTTTTTCCTCTCCCTTTTTCTATTTTTTTTTTTTTAAGTTGTAATATCTGAAGCTGTCCCCCAATGGCAGTCTGCACGTAGGGGGTGAAATCTGGAATTCCCTAATTTCTCCTGTTTTTTAATAAAAACTATTACTTGTACAAATACAGATCTCCCCTTATTTTAAATTGCAGTGGTTTTAAAGGGGTGCTTTTTGGTGCAGCCTCTGAAAGTTGGGGGTCCCCTGGTGATTGTGATCACAGTCTCACTGAAAACACTTTGCTCTGTTGAGGGTGGGTTTGTTTTTTGGTTGTTTGTTTTTTTTTGGTTGTTTTTTTTTTTTTTTTATATTTTGACATCAAATTAATATTCTCATCACTGAGCCTGAAACACAGATTTGACAATAGAGCAGCTCCTCTTTGTTAAAAACTCGCTGAGACTTCCCGAGTTAAAAGGACCAGTAAATCTTGATATCTGAGGGGGTAA